CTGAACGATTTGGGGCTGTGAGATCCCTGCCGAGTTCAGCCTTTGTGCTTTACTGCCTCGTGAGATGGGATTGGTCTCTCGTAGCTCTGGTAGCTGTGCTCTGCCTGCTCCTGCAGGCCCCAAAATGCCCTCGCACACCTCTTGTCTCCCTCTCTCGCAGGGGCCCTGGCATGGAATGCAGACCAGCTGTCTTCTGGGAGCAGAGACCGAATGATCCTCCAGAGGGACATCAGGACCCCCCCCCCTGCAGTCGGAGCGGCGGCTCCAGGGCCACAGGCAGGAGGTGTGCGGGCTCAAATGGTCCACAGACCACCAGCTCCTGGCATCTGGGGGGAATGACAACAAGGTACGGCGCTCAGTGCTGCTCACGTGAGGCTCAGCATCTCTACATCCTCACCGAGAGCTGTCAGCCCCCCCCCTTTCTTTCAGCTGCAGTGTGGAAGGGCTCTTATTTCAATTGCTGGGCTGTGTCCAGCTGTAAATCACGCTAAGCTTCTCAGTCCTCTCTCTCTAATAATATTAAAGAGGCAAATTTAATTTTGCTCCTGTGTTTGGCTAATTAAATCCATAGCTTGACTCGGTTTTGAGTTCAGTGAGGCTAAGCTGTGCTTCCTGACTTGGTTTAGGTAGCGTACAGTGAATAATGTTCATGCATGCAGAAGGAAACAGAGCTTAGGAGCTGTGTAAGCTCTGATACCTACAGCACAGAGCTGTGTCTCACTGAGTGCCATATGGAGGAAGCATCTGTTCCAAAGCAGCAGCATTCGGAGCCCTTTGGAGCGGGTTGCTAGGTAGTGACTGCAGCCAGTGTGACAGCATGGTTGTACCGAGCTCCTTGTCAGGGCGTCTGCAGACGAATTTGAGCTGTGTTTTTAGCTGTGTGTTGGAACAGTGCGGCCCCACAGATGAAAAGTTTTGAGGTGTTGTTCAGAGATGCCGGATCTTTGGCTTCATGAGCTTAACCTGAGGGCTTCTGTGGGCCGGTGGCTCCTCGGCTGGGCTCAGTGCCCGAATGAGACGGGGGTCAGGGCTGAGAGAGCCGGGCTGGCTGTGCTTGGGCAGAGCTGTGGGAAGCCACCACGTTTCCCAGCCCTCATCAATCCCAGAGCAGCTCTCGTGCTCTGTGGGTGTTGCGGACACGCGACTGCGGTGCGGCTGTGCTCACATCTCCTCCTTTCTCCTCCAGCTCCTCGTGTGGAACCATTCCAGCCTGAGCCCCGTGCAGCAATACACGGAGCACCTGGCTGCAGTGAAAGCCATCGCCTGGTCTCCACACCAGCACGGCCTCCTCGCCTCCGGCGGCGGCACCGCCGACCGCTGCATCCGCTTCTGGAACACGCTGACAGGGCAGCCCCTGCAGTGCATCGACACCGGCTCCCAGGTGTGCAACCTGGCCTGGTCGAAGCACGCCAACGAGTTGGTGAGTCCTGTGTGCCGCCCTCGCTGCTGAGCTGCCTCGGGGTAGGAAGCGCCGCATCCCTTTCCCCCTCTTCCCTTTCCCTCTCTCCTTCCAGGTGAGCACCCACGGCTACTCGCAGAACCAGATCCTGGTCTGGAAATACCCCTCCCTCACTCAAGTGGCCAAGCTGACGGGGCACTCGTACAGAGTCCTGTACCTGGTAAGCAGTGGCCGTGTTTCCAGAGCAGCTGCTGGAGGTGTGCTGAGATGAGCGCTGTCAGCTGCCTCTGCTCGTGGTGGAGATGTGTGAGCGCTGCCCTGCAGGCGATGAGAAAAGCTCTGCCTGCTTTCCTTGCCTGCAAGGGATGCTTTGATTTACTGCTATGAAAATGTGAGGCTTTATTAATGAACAGCAAAGCTTGCCAGAGCTCTTCAGAGGGAAGCACAGGATCTCTCCTCATTCCCATAAGGCTCGGTCACTGTTTGTTGGTAACTGCAAGCAGGGAATGACACGATGCCTTCAGCCTTCCTAATTCCATATCAAAGCACCTGGTGTAGGTAGGAGATCCGGGTGGATTAACTGCCTGCTTACCTTACGTTGGGCTTTTGGCAGAGTGCTGGCAGGTGATAAATACTGCTGATAGTGTTTTGCGAGGTGGATTCCAACCCAGCTGACTAATGAGTGGCATTTACCAGCTCTATCGGCTTCCTGCCTCAACACACGTGTGTAATGTGGGGAGGAATGGCCCCAGTGATAGCTGGCGCGGGGAAGGCGAGTCGAATCTCATGCATCCCAGTCAAGGTTTGTTTTCAACCTCAAGGATGCAGTCGGGGCTCAGGGCTGCTCTCTTGGCTGCAGGCGATGTCCCCAGATGGGGAGGCCATCGTGACAGGAGCTGGAGACGAAACCTTGCGGTTCTGGAACGTCTTCAGTAAAACTCGCTCCACGAAGGTAAGGGTGCGCGCAGCCGCAGCAGGAATTCCGGCTGTTTGCTCTCTTCTTCAGCCTCACCTCTGGGTCCTTTAACCTCACCCTGCGGATTGAGGGATGGTTGCAATTAAGAGTTAAACTTGGCTGCAATATAAAAGGCTTTTCGCAGTCATGAGATACAATAAAAGGCTGGCTGTGCACACGCAGGGCTGCGTGACAAGGCATCATTCTGCCAGCTGCCCTGGAACTGTGCTCACCTTGAGCCCAGCACCATCCATCACTGCTGCTGGGATGCGGTCAGCTGACGGTGTCCTCATATTTTATTATCCTTCAGCTCCTTGCTTAATTGCTGCAAGTGGTGACTGGGGGTAGCAGCAGCGTGCTGTGCCCACGTGTGGTGCGGAGAGCAGCACTGAGGCCCCGAGGAGGGCTGTTGGTGTGGGGCTGTGGTGCAGCATTGCAGCACTGCACACCGACGTGGGAATGGCACGCTTGCCCGCCACGCTCCTTGTTATCAGTTGGGGGGTGGGGGAAGGAAAAAAACCAGATGGGAATATTGATGGTGTTGGACTTTGAATGTGGTGCCCTGAGATGCCTCGGCAGCGTGGTGGTGGCGGTTGAAGCTCTGCAGTGCTCAGTGCTGCTTTACCTTTTGTTGTAGGAGTCCGTATCCGTTCTGAACCTCTTCACCAGGATACGGTAAAACCCCCCCACGCTGCGGCCCAGGAGAGCCCAGCCTCACGCAGCAGGATGGAACCACTGCTTTGGTGTGCATGGGACCCCAGAGAGCAGCCGGGAGGGGAGGGAGCCCCGCTGGGCCTGGAGGACGGAGCCACAGGCACTGATTAAACGGTGCTTGTGAACGGCGCTGGGACAGCGTTTGGCTGGGGCTGGGGGGTGGGGGGTGGGAGGGAACTGCCCAAGGTTCGTGGATTCGTCCTTTGTCGAAGGGGTGCGGGTGGAAGAGGTCGAAGCGGCGCCCTCCAACCCTTGTTTTTTCTTTTGTACTGGAGAAAACGTGTTTACATGGAGCACTGAGAGCGGACCAAGGCCATCCCAACTGCTGTGTTGTAAGCTCTTAGGAGAGACGAGAGTATCCTTGCCCCTGTGGGGCAATGCCCCGGCTGAGCCTTGGCCTCTCTGCTATCTAAAGGCACTCGTTAGAGCCTGGGATCCCCGTTGCACCAGAGAACCACTTATTTCCTCCGAATGAAGCAGGTGCCGCAGTGCTGCTCCATGAGGCTGCTGGGTTCTGGCCCGTTTACCAGCCCTCCAGACCTAACCTAACATCTTTGAAGAGGCTTCACCTCGGAGGGCACGCGCTCAGAGCAGCTCCAAATGGCTGTGGTGTGTTTTAGGCCAGTCCTTTATTTAACAGAGAGGGGAAAGAAAACCAAACAAAAACAAAACGAAACACTGGCTTTCAAAAGCGAAGCGGTGTTGCAGGCGGAGCTGCCCGGCTGCGTGCTGGTTGGTTCCTGAGGACGGCCTCCCGAGGACAAAAGCAGTTGCGATGAGCTTGAGAAACAAAACCACTGCTGTGGGGTCTGGTTGATTTCAGAGGGAGCCCGGCCTCTTGTGGCTGGAAGGAAGGGGGGAAGCGCCGCGCCGGGGTGAGAGGGGGGCTCTCTGTGTGAAGCCAGGCAGAATTTGGTGCCCTTTTGTGTTTTGTTTGGTTTTCCTTTCTGTTTTTTAATCTCCTCGTCGATGCCGGGGGACCTGTTGATTTTCTTTGGTGTTGAAGCTGTGTGGAAGAGAGTCTGTGTCTGCGCCCGGGGCGCTGAGTGCCGCGGGCTGTGCTGCAAAGCGCTCGCGTGTTGCTTTTAATTTAAGGAGAAGCTGTTCTGCTTGCAGCAGCCTGTTCTGTCCCCCCGTGTCTGTGTGCCACCGCTGTGCCCTCCCTCCCGCAGCGCCTCTGCTGGCTGCTCCTCTGCTCGGCATTTCCCTGGCTGTGTAAATAGACCTCGACCTGTTCCGTACGCTGTAGGGGCAGCGCTTCTGTGGCTGCACGGCTGTGAGCCGCCGCCTCCAGCAGCCCCTCGCGTATCACTGCGGTGTTGTTCTACAAACCCATGTTGGCACAACCGCCCTGTTCTGGCAGCAGGAGCGCAGCACTCGGTTCGGGCTCGCTCTGAAGGCCTCCCGATGCATCTTCCTTGATTTATTTTTTGTTTTTGGCACTGTTAAACGTGGTGGTGGAGCACTGAGTGGATTTTGATGGGCACGGATCCCAGCCAGCGCAGGTTGGGGGCTGCTTGGGTGTGGGGTGGGGGCTCAGCTGTTGTGTGGGAGCTGAGGGGGGCAGGGGGCGAGTGGGGCTGCGTGCGGGGCTGCGTGCCCTGATGGAGCAGGGAAAAGAGGAAAGAAAGCCTTCATCTGCGTTGTCTGTGAGCAGGGGGCAGCCCGGAGTCTGTGTGCCAGTCTGTGACCGTGTGGCGTTGTTAGATATACAGCATCGTGTGGTGGGGAGGGGGGAAAGAAGAAAGAAAAAAAAAGAGGAACAGAAACAAGTATTGAGTTGTAACTTTTCCATGTAAAGCGTTCTAACTGGCATTAAACTAGTTGTGAATTGACACCGCTCGGCTCTTCTCACCTCGGCGTCCTGGGGGCTCCCCGAGCTCCACGTGGCCGCAGCCGTTTGGTGCCGTTTGGTGCCGTTTGGTGCCGTTTGGTGCCGGCTATTCGCGGGGCAGCGGTTCCGGCGCCCAGGGGCACGGAGCTGCGCCCAGCCCGTTGCCGCAGTCGCCGTTGCCGGGGCGCCGGTTCCAGCAGTGCTGCGGGCTCCCGGGGCCGGGCATGGAGCCGGGGACGCACAGAGCCTGGGTGCCGCTCAGCACCCTGGAAACGGATTTCCCTCTGCCGCTGTGCAGGTGAGGCGGCGCTGGGAGCTCGGGGTCGGGCCCTGCGGGTGCCGCGGGCGCTGATGTCCCCTGGTGCCCGCAGCCAGCAGTACGTGACGCTGCGGGGGCCGCGCTGCGCCCCGGTGCTGAGGCAGGCGGTGCGCTGGAAGATGGCCCCCATGGGCAGGGATGCGGCGGGGCAGAGCTGGGCGACGGAGCCGAGCTGCCGCGGGGCGGAGGACGCCGGGGACGGCCTCACCCGTAGCACGGCCTGGCAGCGCTGGCAGCGCTCACACGGCGCTCCTGAACTGGACCCGCTGCCCCCTGGTAGGGAGCTGGGTGGTGGGGAATGGGGAGGGGAAAAGCAGGGCACTAACCGGGAACTGGGGAGGGGGAAACTGCGGGGTTCCTCGGGGGGAGTGAGGTGGGGATGTGGGGGGAGCTGGGGGGCGTCCTGCTCTCTGCCCCCAGCTCTGCAGCCTGTTTCCCCCCCAAGTCTATGACCAGCATCTGCGGGACGTTGCCTGCTGGGACCCCACTGTCCCTGCTGCCTACCTGGGGCCTGGCACGCGTTGGGGAGCCTTCCTGTGGCAGGAGTGCCCCGTCCTGGGCAAGGAGTACGGTAAGAGCTGGGGGGGATGGCAGCGCGCCCTGCTGTGCCCACCTGAGCCCCCCCTCACCGTTTTCCTTCTGTTCTGCAGTGGCCACCCGCAGCCAGGGCACTGCGGCGCCGGGGGGCAGCTCAGGCTACGTCCCTTTGTTGTCCTTCTGCAGCCCCCAAACCACCACGCGGGATGTCTGCAGCTGGAGCCTCCTGCAGCACCAGCCCTCAGCCCCCCCCAGCTAACAGTGCTGCTACGGGGGGGTGAGGGGAGGGCGAAGCCTCTGTGCGCAGCCCAAGGAACAGAGGCACGGTCAGCGTTGTGGTGGGGGACCCTCTACCCCCGATGTCCCGTGCAGCACAGCTAGCACCACGTCAGCTCTTTATTAATAAAAACAGTTCTGTCTCCCTGTGCCCACCGGGCCCCGCTGTGCCCGCATCCCTGGGGGTGGCTGCCTCCCAGGGCGGGGGCCTGGCTCTGGCTTTGCCCTCTGATCAGTGCTCACACAATGAGCTCAGGGGCTGAAGCACGGAGGGAAGGGGGTAGGATGGAGCCCTACGGCCCGCGGGGGCTCCCTGGGGGTGCTGGAAGGTACGTGGGGACCCCCCCCTCCTCCTCCCCACCTTCTGGGGGGTCCCAGAGCCGGTCCCATGTGCTGGTGGCCCGGTGCCAGCCAGGTCCCTGTTGGCTTCACGTCTTCTTGTGCCTGGGAGGGAGGGCAGGGTGAGGGGCTCCCACTGAGCTGGGGGTGAAGGGGCCGCCGCCCCTCACTCACCGCTGCAACAGGCTGAGCTCTGGCCAAGCCCCCATGGCCGCCAGCTGCTGCTCCAGCTCCAGGATGCGCAGCCCGATGTACCCCGAGGTCAGCAACAAAGCCACCATCCTGGGGACAACACAGGTCAGGGACAGGGACACAGAGCGGGGGTGGCGGTGTCCCCTGCCCAGGGACTCACAGCAGCAGGTAGAACACGATGATGGTGTTGAAAGCACCCAGCTGTGCGGCGCTCCGGGCTGGCAGTGCTGTGCGGGGTCGCCCTGCCAGGAGGAGGCGGTGTTGGGGACGGCAGCGTGGCCAAGAGAGGCGTCGTCAAGGCCAAGAGAGTTGCACGGCTCTGCCAAGGGCACTGCTCACCTCTGCCCAGAACTGGACTGGCCTCTGCCGTCTCCTCCTCTTTTTCCTCATCCTCCTCTGCTCTGTTCAGCATCGGGTTCGGCCCATCTGCACGTAACCGGGATCCATTCGTCGAGTGCCTCGGGACCCAATGGGGCGCATGGGGCGGCCCCAAGAAGGGAGGCCTACAGGGTGCCTACAGGGGCTATGGGGTGTTGTGGGGGGCACACTGGGGTGGCTGCTCACCCTGCAGCTCCAGACCGTCGGGCTCCGGTGTGCACTGCTCCAAATCTGAGTGGCTCGAGGTCTGCAGGAGGACAGGGATTTGTTGGAGGATGGGTGGGGGGCTGGCAGGGGGCTGGGGCTTCTGAGCACCGCATTTCCCCCCAAAAGCCCCCCCTGGGGCCATGCAGCGCCGTTGCGGCCGTTCCCTCACCAAGGATTTCTTAGGGCTTTGCTCAGTGCTGTGGTTGAGGGGAGAGGCCGGGGGGCTCCAGGTGTCGTCCTGCACAAGGAAAGCTGCAGCGGGGTGCAGGGGGCACAGAGCCCGGCCCCTACCCAGCACACCGCCTACCTGCAGGTGTCTGCAGAGCGATTTCAGCAGCTGGTAGGTGGCCTCACGCCGGCGCAGCGACACAAAGAGGAACTGCGGGCAGAGAGATGGGCAGTCAGTTCCCCCCCGCGGCCCCATCCCTACCGCCCTCTCCCCAAGCTCACCTTGTCCCCCTGCTCCGTGCGGATGCTGAGTGCGTTGGGCACCAGCAGTGCCGTGTTGGTCTTTTTGAGGGCACAGACAGAAGCCACCGGGACAACAGCCTGAGGGGAGCAAGCGTGGTCAGACCCTGTGCCCCCACACCACCCCACACCCGCCCCGCGCCCACACCTTGATGTCCCTGAGCAGCACACTGGCGTGGAAGCAGAGGTGCCCGGAGGAGACAAAGAGGCGGCCGTGGTAGGGCACCTCGCGCTGCCAGGCGCAGGAGAAGCAGGCCAGCAGAGCCTCGCGCCCTGCGATCTCCTCAAAGGCTTTATGGAAGGCAGCACAGTGCTTGCTGAGCTGTGGGGAAGCCGAGGCGTGGGGCTGAGCCCTGGCGCCCCCAGTACCGACCACAAAATGGGGATGGGGTCCCCCCTCCTCTCCCCCAGGACTCACCGGGTTTAGGGATCCTGGCTGACCTGACGCCTCCGGGGTCTCGGTGCAGGTGGAGGCGTCGTAGGTTCTGGATCTGCCGGGAGCAGCAGCCACTGAGCCGTGGGGGCCTGAGGGCTGTGGCTCAGGGATGCAGCACTGCAGGAAATGGGGGCTGTGAGTCAGGGACGCAGCACCCACCTGGCGAGTGCAGGGTGCGGGTCCTGCTGCGCGCTGCCTCTCTCCTCCAGGCTCTGCCACGGCTTTTCCAGCACCACCCTCCTGCTCCTCCGCAGCCTCCTCGACATGGAGCAGCCCGGTGCTATGCTGTGGGCGACACAAACAGGTGAGGGGGGATGAGAAAAGGGAAGCCTACCCCGTCCCCAGGCCCTTCACCTGCCCCACGCTCACACAATTGGCTGCAGTTATCCACAGGCGATGGTGCACGGGGTCCTCCTTGCCCACCTGTCCCCTGCCGTCCAAAGAGGGGGACACTGCCTGTCCCCTGCCAACATTGGGGTGCTCAGCACCCTCCGATCAGCCACCAAGGCTCACCGGGACACACAAGGAGCAGCTCGACCTTTCAGAGCCTCTCGGGTGCTGCCTGCCCCATGCCCTGAGGTCCCCGGGGCCCCGCAGGGCACTCTGCGTGGCAGCCACCGTGGCCCCACTCCAGGAAGTGCCGTGCCCCGGGTTTTCCCCACACATCAGCCACAGCCCTGGGGACCCATTGGGGATGACAGCTGTGTCCTCAGGGCGGCCGTGGCACCCCCAGCACCCGCTCATAGGCAGCGGGTGGCAGCTCCCAGGTCCCTCTGTGGTTCCCAAGGTGGACACATGGGGGACCGAAAGGCAGAGAGCAAAATTCCTGCGCTGAGGCGGCCGCCCAGCCCAGGTGGTACCTGGTGGTGGGGAGTTGAGCCCTCCCGTCCCGTCCCAATGAACCGTAGCCCTGCGCTCCCACGCGTTCCTTCAGCCTCAGCCCACAGCCTCCTCCTCCTCTTCCTCTTCCTCCTCCTAGTGAGGAAGGGCAGGCAGGCGGGGCTGGGACCGGCCGCAGCAGGTTTGCAGGGAGGTGTCGGGTGGGGCTGGACGGAGCAAAAAGCACATGGGTGTGGGGGGGCTGTAAAGGGCATCGCCACCACAATGGCACAACCGTGGGATCCCCGGTGGGATGCAGGATGCCCACCCCCTCCCCCCCCGTGCCTACAGCCCTCTGCGGGATCTGCCAGGTGTGTGAGTGCCGGCACCGCTGGGTACCACCACCCCGCTCTGCCCACGGGGGGGAAGGGGTTCGGAGTATCCCTCCTCCCACAGAAGGGAGGGCTGAGCCCTCCACATCCCCCCCAAACCAAACTGCCAGGTAGCCCCGAGGGGAGCAGGGCAATCCGTTGGCCTTGCCCGCAGGTGACTGGGACAGGTGCCAAGGCTGCCAGCCCGGCCCCGCTCACCCTTGCTCCCTGCCCCGTGCTGACACAGCACCGCGCTGCAGGGAGCGGCCAGAACCCGCACTGCTGCAGCTCCCCATGCTCAGCCTGCAGCCCAGCACCGCGTCACTGCATCACCAGCAGCCCTGCAACGCCGCGTCCCACCCCGTCCCTGCACGCGCACTGCCCTTGCACAAACACGTGTGCGCGCACCCCTCCGCACGCTCCCCCCCCATCGCTCACCGCAGCCCCCGTGCTGCACAGGCCCCGCCTCCATTCCTTTCGGGCCCCGCCTCCTTCTCCTCAGGCCCCGCCCCCTCGTGCTCCCTCCTTCCCGCCACGTGCCCACCACGTGCAGGGCCCTCGCACCCTTTTGGCTGCGCCCCGTGTTCCCGGGTGCCCCTCTGCCCGCTGGGGCCCGGGCCTGGGCGCAGCTCAGCCTCCCGCACCGGGCCCCACAGCGATCACCACAGCGGTGCGTGGGGGCCTCTCGCCCCTCGGAGCCGCCCGAGGCAACGCGGCCTTCAGCCCCAGGGTACAGTCGAGGGCCGTGCGATCCACTAAGGCCGCGTGCCCGGGCCGCAGCGCGGCACAGCCGAGCCCGGAAATCCCCCAGGCCGCTGCCGCCCTTCTCCCGGTCCCGGGAGCACCGCACGTTCGTGGAAGCGGCGGAGCCTGCTCCGCAGCTGAGGGCTTGGCAGCGCCGGGCGGCTACCAGCCCCCGTGCGGTAAGGAACGCTCCCATTGGCCGCTGGGACGCAAGGGGCGGGACAAGGCACCTAGGAACCAATCATCTCCCTCCAGCTCTCCCGCGCGGCCGCCATTTTGTTTGCGGGCGCGGGCCGCAGGCGCCATTTTTGTTGAGGGCGGCCATCTTGCGGTCTGCACTCCGTGCCTCCCGCACAAGCCTCGCTGTGCGCGGAATGCGGCGCAGGGATCCTTCCTCACGTCGTTCTGAGGGGGCTGCCGGGGCCCGAGCTGCTTCTGGGGGTCGCGCACAGCTCAGGGCAAGCACAGCCCCTGGGCCTGGCCATCCCACACCAGAGCAGATGGCTCAGGGCCCTGCCAACAGTGGCATTTATTCAAGTTCAGAGGTGAGCTGTGTTTGTTCCTTCTTTTTTTCTTTAAAAAAAGTGCTACGTGTACACACTGACCTTACAAAGCGAGTTAGAGCCGAGGGCCGGGCGCCCCGTCCGGCAGCGCGCCTGCAGCCCGGCCCTCTTAGTGTTACAAACACTGTGTTGTGCAAACACACGGGGACAGCCTTCGTCGCGTCCCCACAGCGCGGCGGGACGAGTCCTGAGAGGAGGCAGAGCTCGCCGAGCCCCCGTCCCGCTGCCGTCCCCTCCGTGGGGTCCCTCCAGGTGAGGCTCAGCAGTGTGGGCAGCGCTGTGGCTGAAGGCGCCGCTCAGTTGACCGTGCTGCTCGGGCTCCTGTCCTCTGCGCACTCCGTGTCGTGGTATTGCATCCCTGCTTCGTTCAGTCCTTGCAGGGCAATGTCGTCTGTAGGGACGAGAGGGGCAGGTGAGGAGTCCATGCGGGGCTGGGTGACTGCAGGCTGAGCTGCTCTGTCTGGACTCTGGCACCAGTGCAACATTAAACAAGAGCCCCGCATGTGGGGGCCTTCGTGCTCTCCCTCCACTCAGAGCAGAATGAGTCCTGGACACCCCGCAGCTGATATTGAGCCCTGGCTGCTGGCGCCCAGCCTGGGGAGGGGAGCCCAGCCCTACATCTGACTGCCAGCAAGCACAGCAGCCCCCTCTGCTCCCCAACAACCACGTGTTCCCAAAGCAAGAACAGATCCTGCCACCACAGGCACAGCCCCAGCTCTGGGGCCAGGAGCAGCAGAAGCACAAGGAGCTGAGCCTACCACGAGGGTCACCCTGCAGCTTCCCACTGCAACCCGGGCCATCTGAAAAGACACTTCAGCTTTAGCCCAGGCTGGCACCAGACATGGGGCTCCCTGTGCCCCAGCCCCATGCCTGCCCCTTCCCCGCACCCTGAGCCCCACAGCCCCACTCACGGAAGCGGACACGGATGGGCCAGATCATGATGCAGCACAGAAACACAGTGGCAGCCATGGCAATGCCCCCAGTGACGAACACCATCACCCAGTGATAGAAGCTGACGCAGGCAGGGCAGCAGAGCTCAGTCCTGCAGGGAAAGGACAGGGCTGCACTTGGTGGCGGGGTTCAGAGTACCTGGAGCTGCTGCCACCATCCCACTGCCTGGCAGCGACCCTAAGTCCTTGCCCCCAGGACTGGTTCACACCGGGACATGGGAGAAGAGCCCAAGGCTCTGGACTTTGAGAACCCCTTCAGGTGTCTGAGATGCAGCCACTTAGAACCAAAAGAGAAATCAAGGAAGGCTTCAAGATAAATCAGAAATGGTTTCTACCCGTGTCTCTTGCCAAGGCTGTAAGAACACGCTCCAAACCTGGGTTAATTGCTACCAGGAGGTCTGGCTGCAGCTGTCCCTGTGTGCATTCCTACTCCACAGGGACACTTACGGGCACGGGTGCAGGTTCTGGATCAGCATCACAGCCAGGCCATTGGCCATCTTGTCCGTGAAGCTCATGGCCCCGTAGACAAACGCACTGCTGTGCTGCGAGGGGAGAGGAAGCCTCAGGCACGCAGCCAGCGCACGGCACGCAGCCCAGCAGGCCCGCAGCGAGAGCCTTGTGCCCTCTCATGGGCAGAGCCCAAATTACAACGGAGCCCATAACACACCAGCTCCTGGGCTCCAGGGGTGGGCTGCTGCACAGACGTACCGTGTTGGTCCCAATGAGGTCAGCAGTCATGGAGAGGGACGTGACCAGGATGGTAGCGGAGCCAGCCCCGAGCAGCACGGCCACCCCGTAGATCTCTGCTCCCATCTCCCTGCTCAGGGACACCCAGGAGGCGAAGGCCAGGATCACCAGGATTCCCACAAAGTACGTCAGCTGCTCCGGGCCGGTGAGGGGACAGGCACAGGGACAAGGCAGAGCTCAGTGTCCGGCCGTGCCCCAGCCTGGCTGACACCCCATGAGGAGGACAGCAGGGCCGGCACTCCCCAGGTCTCACAGCAACAGCTCTGGATCGCTCTCAGCTGGCTTAGGAGTCCCCAGACTGCAGGGGCCTTGCAGTGACCCAGCCTGCTTTACAGCCTAAGGGTTGGGGCCGCGGTGGGGAGCTGTGGGCAGGGTGTCTGTGCACCCAGCTGGCAGGAGCAGAGCGGGCTTTGCTCCAGGACATTTGCTTCAGTGCAGAAGGGAATGCTGTAAACTCTCACACCTCAAGTGTGGCTCAGCCAAGCCCACCCTTTGCCCTTCCTGAACAGCCAAGGCTCTCCCAGCCCCACCAGGGCTGCACAGGACAGGCTGACTCTGGACCAACATCACTTCCCCACACCTCTGCACCCTCAGGTATGCAGGTCAGACCCATGCCATCCCTCTCCCTGCCCCATAGGATCCATGCTGCAGTCTCTGCTTTGCAGCCAGGCTCACGCGTGCCACGTGCTCTGCTCATTTGTGGCTTCAGGATTTGGCTTTTCTGCCCGGCCCCTGGGCTCAGAAGCAGGTTGTTACACGCTGCCCTGGGTCTGATTCAAACCACTCCACGCCCCTAGGACTCACATTTCGACCTATCCACTTATTCACAGGCTTCATGAGGAAGGAGGAGAGGAAGCCACTGATGTACATCACCAGAGGGATGGTGGCAATATATTTCTGTGAGAAACAAACACAGGGAGAGGATCAGCTCCGGACCAGCGGCACAGGACCCACTGTGTCCAGGCAACCTCGAGTTGCAGGCAGGAACGTGCCCCACACCCACCTTGGGCAGCAGCAGCGAGTTGGTCAGGTACATGGCAATGTAAGTCTGGGACAGGTTGACGATGAGCCGAGTGGCCATGTAGAGCACTGCCACCTGCACAGGGACAGGGACGGCAGCTCAGCCCGTGCAGCTGCAGGTGAGGAAGGCTGGCACTGCCGTGCCACGTCTGCTGTTACCTGGTAGAAGGAGGGCTCCAGCAGCCAGTCCTTCCAGACCAGCAGTGAGCGTGGGGACCTCGTGGGCTCCTTCTGCAGCAGGGGTGTGCTCTCCTGGGGCTGCGACACAGAGCCCAGCGGGTGCAGCTTCTCTTTGGTGCCCAGGTGGAAGATGAGGGAGAACACGGCGCCCAGCCCCACCACGATGAGGGACAGGTTCTGCAGGAGGGAGAGGAGGGTGAGTGTAGCACAGGGCACCTTCTGCCTGCCCATCTTCCACCCCCAGGACTCTCGTGGACTAGAGGGGTTCCCAAAAACACAAGGAGAACTGACACAGCCCCTGAGCAGTGCAGCACAAGAGGCTCTGGGACTCTGCCACTTCAACCCCTCCGGTGCCTTCCAGTTTAGCTACATCCCACCAGGGGAAGAAAGGACTTCCAGTTTAGTTTCCAGTTTAGTACATCCCACCAGGGACAGAGCTCTGCCACATACCCGAAACACA